ATTTAACAAAATATTTCAATCAGATCATCTGTTTCCATCAGCTGTTTTCTCGATTTTCATTTAAAAAAATGATCGTAACATCTAAAGTATTTAAATAAATTGTTTTAAGTAAAGACTAGCTGATACATAATTAAACAGAGAAGGCATGTGATTTATTATAATTGAATAGCAATGTTGTTGAACAAGTAAAAAAGTAAGGTAAGTATGCAATTTTTTTAATGTGAATAATCTTCAGCTGTGTCTAACATCCTTGAATGTCGTGTGATTTTAAAATCATATTTTGTTGTAATACTGACACTTAAATAGTTTGGATTTGTTCTGCACTTTTTTCCCCTTATGTTCACCAGCTGTAAACTCTGGCGGAAAGTTCTGGTTGTTCATCCACTTCTGAACTGCAGTCCTGTTCCAGAACCTGAGTGTTGCGGGTGCATCCGTTTTACTGATCTGACTAATGTGTATGCAGACTGCTTGTTCCTTGCCTCTCAGGCAGATGCACTCTGACTTCAAAGGAAGCTTCCAATTAGTCGACTCTTACGACATGCTTTTGGGTAGGCAGTGGGTCTGTTCTTGTTTTCCCTAAAATAGGGCCCCGGATCCCACACGGGGACCAATAAGTTTTCTTCAGGAGGTTTTAGCTTTGTCGTGTTGCAGTAAACAAAATTCCGCTCAAAATGAATTCTTCACCGGCTGTAAACTCCGAGAGAAAGTTCTGGTTGTTCAACCACCTCTGAACTTTGGATTTTTGCGCGCACATCTGTTTTACAGGCTGACTTCTTTGTAGGCAAACTATTGGTTCCTTGCCTCTAAGACAGATGAACGACTTCGAAGAAAACCCCCAATAAGTCGACTCTTACGACATGCTTTTTGGGGAGGCTGTTTTCCCGACCTTGGGGTTCCGGAACCCAAACGGGGATATTTAGCAACTTTTACAAAAACGTTTTTAAATTTTTTTTTTTAATATCCAGAAACCACGAGTTGTTACCCCTTTGGCTCGGTACTATGGATATCGCAACCCTTTTGTCTTGATTCCATGATAGATACAGTAAATCTGAGAGAAATGTGACTTCTCTGCCTACCCCCACCCCCCCCCCCCCGGGCGTGAAAACGGACCACAAGGAGTTCGTCACCTGGTCACCGCGAAGTCAGGTTTAACTAGCGAGACAGGCTTAATTTTGCGTCAAAAGTTGTCCTCAAACAGAAAATATTTAAACATCCAGTGATCATCCCAAGTTATGATAATTAAATTGGAATTCCACGCTTTGCGTAACGGAATTTTAAATTCTGTGAGTTTTAAAGTAAACTAGAGAACGTTACATTTACACAGACAAATACCATGGTCTGGTTTCTGTCAAACCGAACTAAACGAAATCTTCCACCCAAAGTAAACAGGAGTATAAACAGAACAAATAGTTCCGGAAAACGGTGTAGAGCTTGAGTGGCTTCAACTTTTCTACATAATAGATGTTGTATCTATGCAAGGTTTACTGTGTGTACATTTTTTGGTATCACCGTAAGATAACGAGCAACGGAATGGAATTAGTATCAACAAAGCCGTAAAATGTAAAATAGTAATGCTACGAAATGTGTTTAGTATTCGATGAAACGGTAAGGAATTTCATGGAAACGTTTGCAAAACATTTCGTTTTATTTTAGTGTCACCGAAAAGCATGCTCGCCGCCAGAAAGAGAACATTAATATTATTTGTTGGGTGGGTATTCTAAAGCAAAATAGGGACACATTTGTGTACAATCCAAGTCAAAACACGGGGGATTTTATATTCGCCTGCTGGTATTTCAGGAATATGACTTTAGTATTAGGTTTTCTGCAAACAATTCCTGTGGATGTTGCTGTCAGTGTGAAACTATTCGTGTCGGGTATGTTGTCAATGTGAAACTATTCGTATGGTTGATGTTGTCAGTGTGAAACTATTCGTATGGTTGATGTTGTCAGTGTGAAACTATTCGTATGGTTGATGTTGTCAGTGTGAAACTATTCGTGTCGGGTATGTTGTCAGTGTGAAACTATTCGTATGGTTGATGTTGTCAGTGTGAAACTATTCGTATGGTTGATGTTGTCAATGTTAAACTATTCGTGTGGTTGATGTTGTCAGTGTGAAACTATTCGTGTGGGGTATGTTGTCAATGTAACGGGGTCATCTTTCTTTCCCCCCGAAATTTCTTCGTACTTCGTTAAAGTTTAATAGAGCTAGGTCTACTGTCTTTACCAGGACTCCCCCCCCCCCCCATTTCCCCTGTAAATCAATAAAAAGGTGCAGGGACTCATCAGAAAAAGCACTGGTCTTCACCCCTTTACGGCAGTACCTTACACGAGAGTGAAGATTGGGGGGGGGGGGGGAAGGGGGAGGAATGATTTTAAGTAAAGTAAACAACCTCGTACATTTACCGAAGATGGGAAATTGGATAAAGAAATTAACATTAAATGCAGTAAAGAAAACCATATATTGGGACAGCTAGCCCTCCTCTTACAGCATAAGACAATCCCAATCAGCACAAAAAGACATCTTATTCAAAGCATATTTATTCCAACTCTATGCTGTCAGTGCCAGACATGGTCACTCACAACAAACCATAAAAGAAAATTAGTAACCACGGAAATGAGATGTCTAAGAAGAGCTGTAGGAGTGACCATAAGAGATAAGCAGGAATGAGATCATAAGAGAAAAAGTCGGCACAGAACCAATTCTGGATTTAATACGAAGACAGCAAGTGAAATGGTTTGCCCACTTAGAGAGAATGCCCTGTGACACCATACCATACAAAGCATACATGGAGAGAGAAGAAGGACGTAGAGCACGAGGTAGACCAAGAACAACATGGAAGGATAACATCAGAGAAACTCTACAACAGCACAATGTGCCTATGGTCGAGGCGGCCAGAAGTGCTAGAGACAAAACCTTATATCTCCCTCGACACCCACAGCGGTAAAAGAGGAAGTAAAGAAGAAGAAGAAAAAGAAGAAACAACCTCGTTAGTTCGACGTAAGTCTCCCCAGACCCCGCCCATATACACACTAGCTGACTTATGATTGGTAACTACTAAGCCCTGTGCTCTTCGCACACGGTTACGGGGGTGTTCCGCAATGCCGTTGATAACGCGTGCTGTATATTTCAGCCCGCCATCGTTTTTAACACTTCAAAACATAGAGAAACTGGGTCAAACACCCCGCCCCCCTTCCCGACTAGAGAGTTCTGCAACCTATGTCAAAGGCATTCTATTTCTCGGAATGAAAACGTAAATGCAAGACATTGCAGAAACCAAACAACAGAGGGTGACACACCCGTAACCTTAAGGAAAGTCGACCAGCCCAATAAACTTGTGAATGAAAACTGACCTACCCTATTTGAGGAGACTATCGGCGAACTAACCAATAACCCTTTTACTTGTCTTAAGGTGTACTGGGCGACAGGTGGACCCAGCCTTCAGTGGGGACCAGTATAGTACTGAGGAGTAAAGGTGGCCGGCGTGGTGTTGACCCCATCACTCACCGAATGCTGATTGGTCTATAAATGATAGTTTTAGCCCTATGTGATCAGTTCGCTTTAAGAAGGCGTGGCAACGATCTTTTTACATGTGTTGCTAACCTTATCCGTGTTGGTCTGAACCAAGCTGGTGTCTTCTGCCACCCATACAGCTGGCATACTATCGAGAGTATTCGTACATCGGGGACCAGGTCGCCCAGTGGCTTGCCGGTAGAAGACTTTGACGCTAGTCACTTCAGTATTTGGGTTTGTCTCCTTTGATCGCAACTCTGTAGGAGTCCTTTTTTTATGGCTATTGGTGGTGTGCATTGCTACGCCATTTTATCTGACGCACATTATCTAGTCATAATTATAACCTAAAGCTCCCGCTTTAGGAATGCTGGTTGAAGGTGATGATTTTTAACCCACATACATGGATAGATGGAATATTCATACTCTCTCTCTCTCTCTCTCTCTCTCTCTCCTCTCTCTCTCTCTCTCTCTCTCTCTCTCTCTGTATGATATAGCAATCTACGTCACTGCCTATTGGGCATTCCCATGTGTGTTCAGTCCTCCGATGCAGCAGCCATTCCAAGATACCTCTAATGATTGTTTCCACAAGGAGTTTGTTAAAATGTTTCCTATCATGGCCTAGAAGACAACATAGACACCATAATTACCTTGCTTGACTCAAGGTCACGCAATCATGTGTATGAATAATTGAAAGGGTCCTAACAGTATCATCGCCGAAGTAGACTGTTTCGAACTTATACCTGTTTTCCCCACGTTAAGTTTGTGTCATTACCGTGTTTATGGAAGTCATATCATTGTGAAGTTAGTCTCATACGAAATATTAAAGTTAAGATGTGCTGTTATTGGGTTTAACATATCTTTGGCATATCATTGAAATCTCAAAAAACAAATTTTTATCTAACTCTTGTTTAACCTGTTTCAGACTTCGATCCATACTACAGCCAAAAGCAAAAAGTAAACAATAAAAAGTAAAGGACTTAAACGTACCCCTTTAAAAGGAAAAATTCCCTATCATTCTGGGCTCCTCCACGTCATCTTTTTGTGAAGAGGGTAATAGGACAATTCTGTTTCAACATAAACTTTTATTTCAGCAGTTAAAGCTCGTCTGTGATATCAAGTGTAGGTCGATTGCAGCACAAATCGTCTTTAAAAAGTTAACTGCGAATCCTTAACATACAACGTTATAGAATCATCCCCTGCATTTTTTGACTGTTGTGGGTTTTTAAGGTAAGTTTGCGTCCAGTAGTTTGTCACTTCTTTCTGAGCGATCAGTTTCTCAAAACTGTCGAAATCAACGCAAGGTGCAAGGCCCGCAGCTAGAATATAACCCGGAACCCAGGCATTATAAAGCGCTTTTGGAACGCCTTAGCCACTGACGCCAACACAAGTCGCCTACTTATGCTTTTCTGCCACAGATACGCAACTAAGAACAAAAGAAGTAGTGAATCCTACAGTTCCGTGGACGGAATATCTTATCAACAACCTCTAGAAGAAGGATGTCTTTTTTGACTAGCCTCAGAGTTCAGGGTATTATAATTCTATGGGTCGCTGGTGTCATAGAAGCAGTTCCCGTGACCAGTGAGTACATGCAGACGAGGACACAGCTGATTTCCGAAGGCAGCTCCAGAAGAATTGGCGGGAAGCTGGTGCTGAATCCAGATGAACAGATCGTCAATGGAATCATCATGAAGGTAATACCACCACCACTACCTCCATTACCATCACCACGATCTCCACCACTATTATCACCACCTACACTACCATCACTACCACCTCCACTACCATCACCACCACCTCCACTACCATCACCACCATCTCCACTATCATCACCAACATCTCCACTATCATCACCACCATCTCCACTACCACCTTCACCACCTTCACGAATATTACCACCACCTCCACTGCCATCACCAACACCTCCGCTACCATCACCACCATCTCCACTGCAATCGCCACCACCACCTCCACTACTGCCACCACCACCTCCACTACCATCACCACCACTATTATTACTACTGCTGCTTCTTGTTATCTTGAAGCTACATGTCCTATATAGGATGTTGCAGAAGAGTTTACTAGGCGATGTGACGTTTAGTAGTTTGCCATTTTCTCTCTGAACGGCCAGCGCCATATCCCATTTCTATAATCAGCTCACAGCGGTCTGATGCTGAAATTTACGCAGCTGGAATCAAACACGGTACTTCAAGATTACAAATCGCATTTGCAACCCCTATTCTCAATACGGCTGCTGCTCCTACTGCTGCTGCTTCTACTACTACTATCACTATCATCACAATAACCACCATCACCTCTACTACTACCACCACTACTACTACCACCACCACCTCTACCACAGCCACCACTACTACTACCACTACTGCTACTGCTTCTATTACTGCTGCTGTTGCTGCTACTACTACTGTTGCTACTACTATTACCACTTCCACTACTGCTACTGCTGTTGCTTGCACTACTATTACTACTTCTACTAGTACTATCACAATTTGTTTCTTCTAAAGGTGTTACGTTAGAAGGCTACAGACCATAAAATAACACATGTGACAATGATCATACACACGATATCATTATATTTGTATACACTCAGGAAAAGAGAAAACTCATGGACCAGAGCCGACTTAACAGCACTGTGTATGTACCCGCGCAGAGTTTCTACATCTCCAAGCCGCTGATTGAGAATTCGACTTTGTTGAAGCTGATTCGGCGGATGCCCAAAGGTTCAGTTGTGTGTTTGTGTGTGCCCAGTGAACCTTAGTTTGGGGTCTGCATGTGCACATTTGATCAAATCTCTTTGTAGAACTTGATCAAACTGGGTCTATTCATTTTCCCCCAAAAATCTGTACTGGAGCATGACCTCCCTAGTCTTGGGGTAGGGGTGGGGTGGGGTAGGGGGAGGAGGAGGAGGAGGAGGAGAGAGAGAGACAGACAGATAGATAGATAGATAGATAGATAGATAGATAGATAAATAGATAGATAGATAGATAGATAGATAGATAGATAGATAGATAGATAGATAGATAGATAGATAGATAGATAGATAGATAGATAGATAGATAGATAGATAGATAGATAGATAGATAGATAGATAGATAGATAGATAGATAGATAGATAGATAGATAGATAGATAGATAGATAGATAGATAGATAGATAGATAGATAGATAGATAGATAGATAGATAGATAGATAGATAGATAGATAGATAGATAGAGAGAGGGATAGATAGATAGAGAGAGGGATAGATAGATAGATAGAGGGATAGATAGATAGATAGATAGATAGATAGATAGATAGATAGATAGATAGATAGATAGATAGATAGATAGATAGATAGATAGATAGATAGATAGATAGATAGATAGATAGATAGATAGATAGATAGATAGATAGATAGATAGATAGATAGATAGATAGATAGATAGATAGATAGATAGATAGATAGATAGATAGATAGATAGATAGATAGATAGATAGATAGATAGATAGATAGATAGATAGATAGATAGATAGATAGATAGATAGATAGATAGATAGATAGATAGATAGATAGATAGATAGATAGATAGATAGATAGATAGATAGATAGATAGATAGATAGATAGATAGATAGATAGATAGATAGATAGATAGATAGATAGATAGATAGATAGATAGATAGATAGATAGATAGATAGATAGAGATAGATAGATAGATAGATAGATAGATAGATAGATAGATAGATAGATAGATAGATAGATAGATAGATAGATAGATAGATAGATAGATAGATAGATAGATAGATAGATAGATAGATAGATAGATAGATAGATAGATAGATAGATAGATAGATAGATAGATAGATAGATAGATAGATAGATAGATAGATAGATAGATAGATAGATAGATAGATAGATAGATAGTTAGATAGATAGATTAGATAGATAGATAGATAGATAGATAGATAGATAGATAGATAGATAGATAGATAGATAGATAGATAGATAGATAGATAGATAGATAGATAGATAGATAGATAGATAGATAGATAGATAGATAGATAGATAGATAGATAGATAGATAGATAGATAGATAGATAGATAGATAGACAGATAGACAGACAGACAGATAGACAGACAGACAGATAGACAGACAGATAGATAGATAGATAGATAGATAGATAGATAGATAGATAGATAGATAGATAGATAGATAGATAGATAGATAGATAGATAGATAGATAGATAGATAGATAGATAGATAGATAGATAGATAGATAGATAGATAGATAGATAGATAGATAGATAGATAGATAGATAGATAGATAGATAGAGAGAGGGATAGATAGATAGATAGAGAGAGGGAGAGAGAGAGAGATAGATAGATAGATAGATAGATAGATAGATAGATAGATAGATAGATAGATAGATAGATAGATAGATAGATAGATAGATAGATAGATAGATAGATAGATAGATAGATAGATAGATAGATAGATAGATAGATAGATAGATAGATAGATAGATAGATAGATAAGATAGATAGATAGATAGATAGATAGATAGATAGATAGATAGATAGATAGATAGATAGATAGATAGATAGATAGATAGATAGATAGATAGACAGACAGACAGACAGACAGACAGACAGACAGACAGACAGACAGACAGACAGACAGACAGACAGACAGACAGACAGACAGACAGACAGATAGATAGATAGATAGATAGATAGATAGATAGATAGATAGATAGATAGATAGATAGATAGATAGATAGATAGATAGATAGATAGATAGATAGATAGATAGATAGATAGATAGATAGATAGATAGATAGATAGAGAGAGAGAGAGAGAGGGAGAGAGAGAGAGAAAGACGTCTTCATCGCTGCGTTCACCGATTGTAAACTTTTGCAGAAAGTTTTTTGGTTGTTCGTGCATTTTGGGACTTTACGGCTTGTTGCAGAATTTGCGTTTTGCATGCACCTGCATTTCAGATCTGGCTTATTTGCATTCAGATTGTTGGTTCCTACCCTTTCAGGCAATGCGTCCCGATTTTTTAGGAAAAAACCCCCCTATTTAGTCGACTTTTACGACATGCATTTGGTGAGTCTCCACCCCTCTCCATCCCACCCTACTAGTTTACAAATGTGGCCTCGGAATCCACACGAGGAAGAGAGTGGGGAAGATATAAAAAAATTGAAAAAAAAAGCCAAGAAGTGTGTGTGTGTGTGCGTAAGAGAGAGAGAGAGAGAGAGAGAGAGAGAGAGAGAGAGAGAGAGAGAGAAGAGAGAGAAGAGGGAAAACGACAGCCAAAGGGAGAGGGGGGGGGGGTGAAGAAAGAGATATATATATATATATATATATATATATATATATATATATATATATATATATATATATAGAGAGAGAGAGAGAGAGAGAGGGGGGGGGGAAGAGAGAGAAAACTCTGTGGCTAGATGTATCCATCTTTGCCATCCAACAAGTCACATGTTAATGAAAGCTCATCCAATAAACGTAGAACGGCGTGTTTGGTACAGAATCAACACAAGGATAGTTATTGTTGAGTTTTACAATCAGATATTGAACCAGGAACAAACATACACTCAGTCTGACAGCAAGTAAGGGACCTCTTTCTTCCGAGCATGGGCACACTGGACTCAATCTCTGTTTCTGTAGACCAGACCAAAGTCTGTGTTTTGGTCAACGTTACACCTACCACCTTTACATCCCAGGACATAACCTGGTAATTCTAGGCTGTGTCGATCTAGAACCCACGGTCACATTTTTGTATGTTGATGTGGGAAAGAGGCGTGGAGTTGGGTGATATCAACCTTAATGCTAATTTGAGCATTTAGCCACTGTGCAATAGCAGAGGTGAGGAGTGACCAATTCGCATGTGTAAGTGTTAGAAGGTAGCAGTTACAGTGGGGAGGGTATCGGATAACAGTTTCCTCCTGGTCGCTTGGCTATTGAAAATATGCGTGCATGCTGGACTGTGGTCAGTGCCGGATTTAGGCGTGAGCTAACTGGGATACATCTGAGGGCTTCACAATCTACAGGGGCCTCACCAATATCGTAATGTTTTTATGTTGTTATTCACAAATGCAATTGTCTTTTAACAGAGCTTTAAATTGATTATTTAATATAATTAATGTGATTTTTGCAGACACATTCTTAATTTTTTCCTTTACTAAAGATTAAATAATAATGTATTTCCATCATCCCTGTATTTAAAAGGCGCCTGTATGTATGTTTCTGAGATTCTTCTTCCTCTTCAGCATTCTGAGCCTTTGAGCTTCATTGCTGCAGATATCACCCGCCTCCCATTTATCTCTCTAGTTGGCCTTCTCTTTCCAGTTGGTGACACCAAGTGCTTGCAGGTCTATCTATATATTATCTCCCCATTTGCCCGGCTCTCTAGCGAAGTTGGTTAAACCTGACTTTCGCGGCGGCCGGGTGACGAACTCCTTGTGGTCCGGGTTCACTCCCGGGGGTAGGCAGAAAAGCCACATTTCTCCCAGATTAACGGTACCTATAATGGAATCAATGCCGAAGGATTGCGATATCCATAGTACCGAGCCAAAGGGTTTACAACTCATGGTTACTGGATACGTTTAAAAAAAAAAAAATCTCCCCATCGTTTTCTTGGTCTGCCTAGTGATCTTGTACGATTCATCTCCCTCGTGTTTCTAAGATTAGCTGGTGTGGTTTAAATCAGTAGGGGCCTCAGGGCTGTACACAGTTTAGGGTTACATCCAGTCTAAACCTGGCAGTGATTGCTAGTATTTGGTCGCAGCTAGTAACCCTTATCTTTACACGTTATTACAGTTTCTGTAATAGTGGTATAAGCATGCAGCAAGCGTGCTTTTAGCTATATTCGAGAAGTAAAACCTATGTCGCGTGTGTAATAATAGTAAACTGTGATAATAAACAGTAAAATAATTGTCATCTGACAATGAAAAGTCTTGGCAGTTTTTGCAGCCGTTCTGTCTCGCAGCTGTACTATATAGTAAAGTAAAGGCCCCTTTTCCACGCCTTCATGTGTGTTAGGCATATAGGGCTAGACCTATATTTTTATGGATCTGTCGGCACTTGGGTGGGTGATGTGGTCAATATCACGCCGGCCGTCTTTACTTCCCAGGACTGCTTCTGGTGCCCACGTAAGACTGGGTGGACCTGGGAGCCAAGGTCATTTTAGAAAAAGAGTCCGGCCCTGTTAGGACTTGAACCCACGACCTCCCCATACACAGGCGAGTGGCTAGCCGCTACACCACGCCAGTTCCTAGCTACCCCGTAAACTGTATCAGATCCTGTTCACGTTTCCCGGCCCATCCAAAAGTATATGACATATCATTCATACTTTCTCAGACTCTTCTACGCCAGAGGGGTATCACGTTGTCTTCCCTTTAATTACATGTTCGCCGATGTCGCGTGTTCTATACTACATGACGACACAGCTTTCAACACCTGAAACTGGTCCTAACACCCCCTCCCCTCCCCCTTTACCCAAAGCCTCAGCCTAGTTTAAACTCTTTTCGGAAAAAAAAAAAAAAGAAGTACAACGTCACACCCCTCTGACCTAGATCAAACTGAGAAAGTGTGTAGATGGGTTGGGAAACGTGAACAGATACTGGTAAATTTTACGCTCGTCTCTCCATTTACCAACCGCTACGCACTAGCTCGCTTCTGATTGGATGACCTACTGACCACCTCACCTCTGATAAGTCGGCCTCGAGCGATTCGACTTTCACACAAGCTCACGGGGATTTTCCGCACTCGCGCTCATACCGCATGTTGTATATTTCACTATGCTCGAGCTTTTAACACTTCTAAAACATTTAGATACTGGGTCTAACAAACAACTCCCTAGAGAGTTACATGACGTCTTTTTCTCGGAAATGAAAAAAAAACGTAATATCCAGGCAACAACAGACTGCGACATCTATAACCTCTACCACGGTAGACTAGTCCAACCAACTTATCAATGGAGTTGACCTATAACCGGTGGTGTGCAAATGGGGAGACCATAGTATACATAAACCAGATCCTGTATAAAATAATCAAAATAAATGTTCCAGGGGCGGCGCTACATCTCCATGACACGTCGGCCACCAGCTTGGACTGGCTGATCAAGAACGCCACCTACCGGGATCATGTCTACATGTGTGTGGCTGCTGATGGCTTCATCAATTTCCGGGCGTTCCTGAACCCACCTGAAAATCCAAGTATGGAAGTTGATGAATCGTGACTGTCGTCGTTATCATTTTTTCATAATTTTATGATCACATTATTACCATCAGCATCACCACCACTGCCTCCATCATCATCATCATCATCATCATCATTATCATCATCACCATCAGCATCACCACCACTGACTCCATCAGCATCATTATCATCATCATCATCATCATCATCATTACCATCCTTCTTTATTATCGTCAAATTTACATTTCTTTCCCTCAATAAATCATAGTATGCAAATGTCTGTTGCATCACCCTCACACTTATCAATATTATC